AACTCACTAATGCTGAACCTTCCTATGCTTCTAGTCACACTGGCTATAAATGCTAACAGTTCCAGTTTGATGAAAGCAGGCAGAGTTACTTTCATGTCAGGCTACGGCACAAATCAGCTAAGCGTTACGACAGTCAGATTAGGGGCAAATAGTTTGGGGAGAATGTGTGTAGCTTTGTTGCATTTGTTTTTGCTGTATTTCTTCATGACATTTGTGGCATGCATGCACTCCATATGAAAAGGAGTGGAGCTTTTCAGAGGGGTAAAATATGGCAGGAGTTTGCAGAGTAAATGTCAGGCTCAAGCTACTGCATTTTCACATTTATACCTTCTGTAACAATCTATGTAGATTTGGGGTAAGAAATATTCTTTAAGTGGTCATATTTTGGTGATAAAGGAGTTAAGTTGTTACCTAAATGTACCAGTAGTGTGGCATTGCTTCTGCAAGGCGTGTACCTACAATCTGAGCACCAGATCCACTGAAGAGATCATTTAAGCATGTTCTTAGCTATCCTACTTGCAATATTGGCAGTTCCATGAAAATTCTTTATAATGTAAGTCACTGCTTACACCCACCATGATGAAATGTGATGAGGTTGTTCTAGCAGTATGGGTCAGATGGTAAAGCATTACTCTAGTCTGACCAAATAAGAGTCGGTGTTAATTCAGTGGCTATACCAAAGGCTGATTACTGTGTTTAAACCAAAAGTATTTCAGCCAATGTTTCCCCCTACACACACTCAGTATTTTGTCTACATTTGTATATTATAGGGTATACAGCATCTGAAGTGAGTAATTTTATTTTTCATTACTATATGAACTAAGTACATAAATCTGTCAAAACTAACAAACCAGCAAACAAGTGAGAAGTCTACCATATGTTATCAAATGAGTTGGCATAATGCCTGGTTCAAGTTAAGTCTGTTCCCATTGTCTAGGTAGCATATTGTATGTTCAAGTTTTGGTTAAGTCTGATACACATAGTAACAAGATTCAAGTACTTAGCTGCCAGTTTTGTGCCAGTGTGACTCTGAGTTGATACCTCAGTTAAGGAAAAGGAGATTGCAGTAGTAATGAACAAAGTTTCTGGAAAAGGAAGTGAGATTTGTCCGGAAAAAGGGCTTGTTTAAAGAACAAGACAAAACAAATAAATCATTTGTTCATCTGAGATGAGGCGGAACATGCGTTTGTTAAGAAAAAAGGACAGTTTTCTATCTGAAAAGTAGAACAAACAAAATTAATTCCCTGAAGTCTCTTCCTAGAGTGACACCTATTTCTTAATGCATAAGTTACTCGTGGGAGAGGCATTCCATCCAATGGATACCTTGAGTAAAAATAGAGTGGCTCTCCTTCTCTCCTTTTATACCTTGAAAAATCAAAATACGATCTTAACATGCTTGAGACATCAAAATTCACTTTGAGAAAAGATAAATATGGGGCTGCTTGGGAGCTGAATATGAACCCGTACTGTAAGGGCTCTCTTACTTCGGAACAGTTTTCTTTGTATTCTTTCTTTTACCACGTATTTTCTGACCTGTTTGTTCTATTCTGCTTTTATATTTTAAGTGTTGAGAAGGTTTATTTGTACATGTATTTTGCTTACACTGAGCTCATGTGTTATTGGCTGTCAGCTTTGGTCTTCAGCTTTTGATGATGCAGAAAATTAATGGAGTCTTCAGCTCAGGCATTATGATAATACAGTGCTCAAGGATGTGCCATCACCACCCACGAGACTCAATAGCTCATACTACCAATAAGCTCTTCGCCCTTTGGATTGCTGTATTAATAACCTTAATATTTTGTATTGTGGTATTTTACTGTTGGCTTCAACGCACCTAAATAAAGACAAGTTGTTTGAAATGCACCAGGAGGAAAGGGCAAGGAAGACGTATTTTCTTTTGGGGAGCATATCTCTTTACTGGTGGCATGCTTTCTACAGACTCAAAAGCAAACTTCAAGGTGACTTATCAGTCTTAGCCAGCTGTGGTGAGGGATAACATTTTTAGAGAGCTGCTATAGAGGAAGGATGGCAGTAACTACTGCCAAGGGGATATTTTACCACTGGACTCAGAATAGCTGTGCTGATCTAGATGGCTGCTGAGTTCTCCGTGTACCCAGGTTAATTTGTACTTTTTGTTGTACTTGTTCTGGTAATGCTTTGAAAATAAGATAAAGTGAAACAAGACCTTGGGAAGTGGGGAGAGGGTGTTGAAAACTTTTATACTGTCTTTTTGCTTGAAGGTAGAGAGTGCAGACATAAGACGGGGAAGCTAATGCTGAAGGGAGAGCACTAATATAAAGATGGTAGGAAAATACAATGTATGGAAATCCAAGAGTGGATCAGAAAAGAGTATGGCAGGTGGGTTACTTGGTTGCTGCCTGCAAATAATGCTAGGAAGCTGTGGAAGAGGATTCAGTGATTCCTTTCCTTGCTCTGACCAACCATACAGATAAACATGCTAAGTCTCCCTGGGGAGCCATAGAGGACCCAATACTAATCAAATTCTTGAACTTCAGATGAATTGTGAATCCTCCAGAGCACGTAGAGGCTGCTGGTTGTGATGATGATGTGTTAGATGGTAGATAGTACTACAGGGTGGTAGTCCAAGCAAGTCCGTTCCTGCAAAGGACGAAACACAGTAAGCTGTGGCAGGTATCTCTTTCCCCTTTTTGTTTTATGAGGATGTAGTTTCAGCTATGTGGCTTTTTGCTATTATCTCCTTGATCTTTGTAAGGCCTTAACTCCAAGAATATTCTGCTTTCTTGGAGAAATCCTTCCTTTGAAAGATGGTTTTCTTGACCAAGGAAGCTTTAGAAATAGAAGTTAGTTTTCTTGCTGCCTCCTTTAATGTCAGCCATGCTGAATAGTTGGGCAAATAGGGCATGGTGCTCTGTTCCATGTTTTCAGATCATGAGAGCAATTATTTCCTGTCATGTTTCTATCTAGTATGGAGCCCTGTAACTAAGCAGACAAAATGCCAACCAGCAGGCTGGCTGGAGCAGTTCACACCAGCTCCCTTAACGCCCTGTCCCCCTGCCTCTGTGGAAGTGAAGTGCCAGAAGGCACAATTTGCCCCACAGCATATGAGCCACATGAATATTTTCAGCTGCTTTTAAATCATCTGCTGTCTTGTATAAAAATAATTGAGAACTACAGTACAAAGCCAATAGCTCTAAAATAGCCCGACTCATAGAAGATGGTAATCCAGAGGAAACATGATCCTGCATGACCAGGCATCTCTAGTCTCCAGCCTGCTTAAATGCAGCTATTTTAAGCATTGGGAAGTAGAAAGTATGCTGCTGATCTATAAAAAGCTACTTAAAAATAAAATTGCTAGATCTATATCTTGCAGTGCAGACTTGTATCTTAAACATGTCTTGTATGCTGAAGTCAAAAATAAGCCCTTCAGCTTTCTTTTTCTTTTTTTTTACTTTTGCTGCTGGTAGATGGGTTTTGAAGCATATTTCTGGTTTGTTTTCCATAACTATGAAGCTATTTCTGCTTTGGATACATTTTGTTTTTTGTTTTTTGTGTTTTTTTTTTTTTTTTTTTTAGGAAGTTTTCCTATGAACTAAGGTTTATTAACTGAAAGGTGGTTATTTGTCATTTCAGCAGCTGGACTTTCAGGGTACAGCAAAAAATCTGTATTCAGCTAATGCATTCTAACCGAAGGGAATGAGCTTTTGTTTATGTAATTATTTAGTGAGACAAATATATGGGCAAAACATCCCCCAAGTTTAACCAAGAATGGTACATAAGGGATAAGTATTAGCTGGAAGCACAAATAACAGCTATGACCACATAGAGTTTTACTGTCTGTTACTGGTGAAAACCTGCAACTGTTTTCTTAAAAATGAAGCTTCTAAGAGTTCATTTAAACCTTTTGTACAAGACCATTTTTCATAAATGCTCTGATAGCAGATTCACAGAAGGTAACTCAAGGTGCCTTCAAAAGATCCAAAACCTTTCAAAACCATCTGGAACGCTAGACCTGTGTGATTCACCATGCTTTGTTGTCTTTGCTGAAGATGCAGCTATAGAGCTTCCCTGGTGATTCCAGGTTAATGGCCTAAGTGCAGCAAACCCTGGAAGCAGGTTATCATGTCGTCTCCCACCCCCTCCCCCCCTTTCCCTTCCAAAACCAAAGTCAATTAGTAGTTCAGAACGGTGTTTTTCTACAGAAGAGCAAGGCTCTAGGAGTGGACAGAGATGCAGGGAGGTGGTTTTTCCTTTTTTTTTTTGAGGAGTTGAGGTACTAGAGGACTTGTGTCACTTAGCAGGAATGGCTCGCTAACTCCAGGTGATAACAGAGTAATTGGGACAAACTGAGTAAAATGTACTGAGCAGCTCAACACCCATCAGCATTATTAACAGTGGCAGAGAAGTGGTGGTTCCCTGCTTTGCGGGAGGGAGGTAGTGAGCTAATACAATGAACATCTTACAAATTCAGGACTTGCTTCTTCTTCCTCTACCACCTTAGCTAGGAATAAACTTTACCTTGTTATCTTTTCATTGCACTTGAACTTCAGACAAGAAGTTTAAGTCCAGGTATAACTAACCCATCATTCTCATGACTCTTCTTGGAAGGCAGCTGTGGCTTTTGATTTCTTTGTTCTTTCTGAGAGGTGGATTGTTTTTTGTTTTGTTTTCTCTTTTTCTCCCTTAATGAAGTAATGAAGTTCCATGTAATAGGAATGGTATCAAAAGCTGAGATTAAATTGGTTATTGAGAATAGCCAGGCTATGAGAAAAGTGACTGGTATTGCAGTAAAGTACACTGCATTAAGCAATAAACTGTGCTTTAGCGATAAGAATGCTAGGAAAAGCTCTAATGTAAAGCAGGCTAATAAGAGCACACACGACGTGCTGGACAAGCAGGTACTCCCTGTTTATAGGAATGAGCAAGCCTGGCTTTTTAGCAAGGATATTTGCTACACCCAGACTAGTAAGGAGACACATATCCAAACAAAACCCACAATACTGAAAGACAAGCCTCCTCAGTGGTGTGCATGCTTTTTATTAATAATGTGAAAACAAGACAGTTGTTGCAAACATCAGATGTCAAGGTGACTGATACCAAAAGCATCCCACAGTCATGAGGATTCTTTAAGAGTAACACTCCTAACAAAACAGAACTTGTTAACTAACTGTTGTCTTTTGAACCTCAGCATTGCTGGAGGACTATGTAGTCTAAGGGGGTTGGCAAGAACCTGAGGTAATACCTGGAGATATTGGCTTTAAGATGCAACAAAAATGTATACTCTTCTGTGCAATATACCACACAAAATCTTTATCTTAGCTATTATTAGTCTGCCAGCAGACCTACTGAAAGTAGATTGAACAACTGGCTATATACTGCCTTTACCTGCTGCACTTCACTGTTTCCTGCTTCTCACTCCATGTTCTTAAGAGACTACTAACACAAACCTATATATGTGACTAAGATCTTGATGTAACCATAGTGGAGGAGATCTATGTTGTAAAATAAGTATGCTTTTTTTTCCAAACCCTTTCTTAATTTTATTCTATTTGACAAAATGTCATTTTGGTGAAAGTGGAATCCTGTTGTTTAAAATCTCTAATGAATGATCACTACAGGTTTTGTTGGGGTTTGTTAATCAACAACCTAGAAATTTTAATGCTGTACTGTCCTGAATGGTTGATGCTCTGGCATTTGACAGAGCCCTTTTACCTGAGATAATACAAAAGTCATAGCAAAAAAAGGACTTACAAAGAAAAGATGAGTAAGGAATGAAGTCTGGGAAGACAGAGACAGGGCAGGCAAGACAAGTTTGTTTCTTTTAAAAAATCAATCGAACTGGATTTAGGATTGAAACAGATCTAGAAAAACTGTTCGTTCCAAAGGTACTGTACAGAGGTCTGGTGATAATCACAGACTAAAAGCACTTTGTTACATATATTGAAATATAATATAGTCATTTAACAATTTGCTAGACAGAACAGTCCTGCCTTTGAGACTAAACTGTCATAAGCAAAGTCATTACATTGTTTAGATTCAAGATGTACGTGTAATGTTTTTACACATCAGAATAATGATATATTCCATATTTGTTCTTTTGCTCTGTGATTAGAAAATTTTCTATTGTAATTAGAATAGTCTATCAGTGGGATGTTGTAGGGCTTATGAGTACACTAGGAAGCAGAACACCCATTAATTAATTAAAGCCTTTTAAAGAGCTATTATTGCTATATTGCAGTCATTGCTTTTTTATTACATTCTTAAATCCATGTTGTTATAACACTGTTTCATCAAAAATTTTTAAGCTTATGTATGCATCCCTATTTTGATAGGCCTTGGAGGTGGTTGATTTTCAGATCTTTCAATCTAGATTAAAGCTAAGGGCCCAGACCCTGAGCTAGCATTAAGCAGTCCAGCTGTTTTGATCAGTGTAATGAATCCCAATTAAGTATCTGTACCAACAAACACAGTGCTTAAAAATTCTGTATGTCCTAAACTACATGCAGTTTAGCATTAGTGGTGAAGGAGTACTTGACTAGCAAATGTACGTGGACTTGGGGCACAGTTTGGCACCCTGCGTTCTGCTTTTCACTGGCTGTGACACAGTGCCATGGCTTATTGCTCAGAAGTGCTCTGCTGAAACCTGCCAGTATGAAGACATGATAGTTTGACACTGCAAAATGAGTACTTTTCATCTCTGTGCAGTTAAATAATCCAACGTCATTTTCAAGTAATTTAAGCAAATGTGAAGTTACAGATTTATAGAAAAGTAAAACACTAATGTATGGTTATTAAATAAGTAGGGGGAAAAGTGAAAAATCATCAGAATTTTAAGAGAGAAGCATAAAAAGTGACAGAACATTAGACTATTTCTCTGCCTCTGAATTCACTCATGACTTGAACAGGATGGATTCTCTTCTTTGCAGAACCTTTTCTGACAGCAGCATAGATTTCTTCTGGCTTCTCTCTTTTAATTAGGGGCTTCTTCTCTGGAGCTTTCATTCTCCACATCACAACAGGATGTCGTGGGCCAGTAGGACTCTGAATCTTGATAATCTTTGTGGATGCAATGTAGGACATCTTCACTGTCTGCACCACAGCATTCATTAAATTTTTGGCAGCCTGAATTAGTGAGGTGACACTATCCAACTGTAATAAGAAACAGAAACATTAGCATAGGAAAGCAGTCTGCTTTTAATCACAATATGCTCAGGATTAAACAACAGTTAAAACCTAAGACTAATATAGTAAAGCATAATTTCTTTGTTTTCTCTTGGTGTGCTTGATCATTATATTCATGTTTCATTGCTCAGAATTAAAGTGATATACAGGAATCTGTGCTGGTGAAGTGTAATGGCTTATTGAGATGTTTGTTGCTTGCCTTTGTCTAAGAAGTGTGAATTCATGACTCTTGTCTGCAGGGTATCACTGCAATTACTCCTGGTGGGTAATGAAACCACCTCCAAGAAGAGCTATAAAAATGTTACCTATTATTTTCTTTGCATCAGCACTAGATAAATGCTCCAGCTGCTCCCATCACATTCCAGGCTTTCTCACGTGCTTCTGAGCATTGCAGGGATACTGTGAAGTGGCTGAATTAGTAGCTGCTGAATGTAGTCTCAATGACCAGAATTTTAAAAGCTAATAAGTAAGTAAGTATGGGCTAGTACACACAAACTGCAGTGACTGTATGGTCTTTTTTTTTTTTTCTTTCTTTCTTTTTCCCCCAAGAATGAGAACCTTGAGAGGCAGAACGCAAAACAAACCTCTGTATCACATATTGCTGTATTCAACAGCATGCTACACAGCCAAGCAAGTGTTAAAGGTATTTTCCATAGATATTTCTGGAAATAAAAAGTAGTATATCTTGATTCCAACTGAAAATTGGCTGACTGTAGGGGGAAAAAAAAAAGACAGTTTTAACTACTATGTTATCTTTGCAGTGCTGCTCTGTAGTGGAATACAAAAACTGAACATACCATTCCCTTCTCACCTAAGGCTTGCGTGGTGTGTAGGGACTGAAAGAAGACAGTGCTTTACTTTCTTAGTTCTCTCCTTAGTCCCAGAGACTTTGGCAGCCTAGATTGAGGCTGACATATCAGTGTTGTACAGTACAGTTGTGTGAAAGGCCAACACAGACCTACGGCATGTGCTGAGTACAGGTATTTTATCCTGACAGAACCCTCTCCCACAGTGAATCTCAAATTCTTGTGTCTTAGTTCCAGCTGGATGGAATTGTTTTCTTCAGAGTGTCTGGTAAGATGCTATGTTTTGGTTCTAGGAGGAAAACAAAGCTTATAACACACTGATGCTAAGCAGCATTGTCCAGAGCCAAGGTCACTCTCAGTGATGGCCACAAGAAGCTAGGAGGGAACAGAATGTGGACAGCTGACTTAAACTGGCCAAAGGGATATTCTGTACCATAGAACATCAAGCGGAAGGAGTTTTGAAGGGGGTATACTGTTTGTGTTTTGATAGTGTTCCCAGGAAATGCTAGAGGCACATATATATGGTATAAATCATCTTAGCTAGTAGCTTTTTATTCAAAGATACCATGCTGTATTTAATTAAAAGGCTGACAATTTCAATTGTGAAGGCATCTCCATTTTGAATAGCTTGAAGAAAGCCCTTGAGAAATAGTTGTTATTTATTTAAATCTTACTGATTAATATTTATTGCTTATATGTGTTATAACTACAGAAGTTGCTCCAAAGTTAATGCCTCTTAGTCATTTCCAGGAAAACTACTTGAAAAGCTATTTGATAGAGCAAATTCTCAGGTACAAAAAACACTGATTCACAGCATAGTCACCGCTGGTAGCTGATTGGAGCAGATGAGCTGATGGAGACACTCTGCATTTTGTGGTGTGACAGCTGTACGTTGCTGTCCAGAATGCAACTTATCTTTCACACTGCTGTCACTACTGCTGAAACACACCACCCACTGCCTCACTGTGCTTGCATCCCCTGCTTGGTCTCTATAAACATTCAGTGAATGTCAATGGGCACCATTTTTTCCGCATGGAAAAATTTAATGATGCACCTTTGCTGCAGATGCCATTGTGTCAGTCTGCCCCTCTGCTGGCATATGCCACATGGTAACAAAATGCAAGCTAATATTGCTGTAAACAATGTCCACCTGAGCAACCCACCATTTTATGATGTTCTTGCCAAAGTAAGGAAGAGAAGCAATAAAAAAAAAATCATGCAAAATTTGCATCAGTTTGCATCTCTCAAAAGAGAGATGTTGTACTTTCTACTTCTTGCACATGCATTTGTATGTGTAAAGGTGTGTACAGAAATACTTTGTGTACACGCACACAGCACACTGTTTAGCAAACTTTGCACTTGTGTATATACCACTGCTGAAGCTCTCCACAGTTTGGAGATAATAGAAAGTGTTATTTCAACTTCTGTGCGTCCTGTTTTGAAACATTTTTCCCTCTTCTGTAATAGCAAGTGAGGACCTTGAGGACTGTCATTTTTAATGGGAGAACGATCTTCAGTTTGATCAATGCAGCATTCCAAACACTTTTGCAGTATGAAGATTTGCAAACTGATGTGTTTAGCCCTTAGCCAGGGCAAATGAATTTGTGAGTGAATTGATGAGCTGGGGGGAATGTGTTACTGCCTGCACAGTTGTTTTTGTAACACTTTATACACCGGAATGCATGTAAGGCAAAAAACAGCAGTAAGTCAGGAAATGACTTGATTTGGATTTTTGGAATCAAATCTGAACAGAAGGATCTGTAGTTAATACTGAACATTTCTCCAGAAATGCTAGGAAAACACCAAAACCATATTTTTTTTGTCACAGGAGGTTAAAATGCTAAGAGGACTAAATACACATAAGCTATGAAAACATCTAAAATTTGGCATGGCCTTGAAAGTTCATTCCTTGCTGCAGCACGCAAGATTTTTAGAAAGGATTTCCAGTTTATGTTGTTATATAATCTTTGTACAACTGTAGTTTAAACCAGTAAGACGTATTTGGAGACAAAATGGATGCCACTGGCATTCAGCATTTTGTTCTCAACTGTTGTCTCAACAACCTTAGGGATCAGTTGTTGTGCATATATCCATACAGCTATTAAAAGACTACTGTTTCTTAAAACCTAACTAATCTGCAATAACAGCAAATAAATAAATAAATAAATAAATCTTTTTAAGAAAGGTTTCTTTTCTAAAGGTTTTCTTTTCTAAAAAGAAAAACAGATCCACAAGCAATTGCAATTCATGCTTCACTTTCTTATAGTCTCTGCCTAAAGTAAGTGTTTAAAAAAAAAAAGAATAAAAGAAATTCAGATCTGTGCTAGAACATATCAGAAGCACAGGAAAGGACAATGTAAATTGAAGATATTTATTTTGCATTGACTGTAATTCATGCCATTTTTCTACTTACAGCAGACATGATGAGCTCTCCACCTAGATTCTGGATTTCTGCTTTAACTTGACTGCAGATTTTCAGCTGATGGGAGTACAGCTTGATCTGTTCTAGGTAAGCCAACAAATCCTGTTTACATGACTGGTCTGGACACTGAGGATTAAAAAAAAAAATAGTAAGGCACATACATTTCATTTCAGACATGATATTAAATACTTAACTGAGGAGTATTCAAATCACTCATACAAACATCCTTGTACTCACTTTTTCTTTTATGCTGCAGGGACTGCTTTAGCAACACTGCTAACCAAATTATTTAATGTACGGAATGACTGCTCTTCTATTCCTAAGAGGTTTTATTTCTAAGGTCTCTAGAAGTAATAGTTAAATGGCAAATGTAAACACAAATGCAAGAAGAATGTTAATGTTTATAAAAGTTATGCTTTATCTCGATGTGCTTTTTTTTTAATTTTATATCCATGTTATTCAGCTTAATGTCAGATGTGCTGTTTCAGTGGGAATAGGAAAATAAGAACAGCTTATGGCTAATTCACTGATTTCAATACTTAAAAAATAACATCCTTCCACCTTTACTTCTATGAGCTCCCACAAATACCTGGAGGGGAAGTACTGGTTTAAATAAACCTATAATGGGCTAAAAGCCTGAAAAAGCAATAACTGTACTTAATCCAAGAAATACTTTACATAAACAACTGATAGTTGTTTAAAATGGGATGTGTTTGTTTAAGGTGCGATGATTCTTCCTGGCTCTGGAGTAGTAAACCAAAAACTTCATGTTTTGGTCTCTTAGAAGAGGCAGCAAAGAATATAACAAATGAATCTGAAAAATTGTTGATTACTATGAATGAAATATCAGTCCTTACCCTGTGTTCAGGTAGATCCACGACTAAAGTGTTCTCTGTACTTCAACATAGTTTAAAAGAAAAACAGAACAGTTTCTCAACACCTTCTCAACATGCACCATTTTTGAAGCGTTACCAGTATTCAAATCTCTTGAATACTTGTTTACTTCTTGCACTAATTAGTAAAAAAAATCTGTCCTTCTGGCCAAATGCAGCTGTAACCTCTTTAAGTATCACAACTATACTAAAGGTCTATTTCCTAGAATAAGGTGCTTGCCTTTATATTGCTCTGTGATTTACTTCTCCCCACTGGAAATCCTCAGCAGATAGAAAGACAGAGCACTAATACAGTATCTCATCCACTTCAACTTGTGACAGCATCAATTATAGAAAACCAGAGGCAACGCTATTTTAATTTTTTACGTAATACTCTATGTAACATTTGCAAGTTAGCCATTTGCTATCTTCCTTTTACATACTTAGGGAAGAAATGCATAACATTTTAGGAATGCCGAAGATGGTATGCACCAAAGATAGGGAAAACATAACCTCCCCAGAGACCTTGAGGTTAAACTACTTCTATCAAAATACTGGTCTAGCGCTCAGCAGCATTTAGAAAAGCAAGTGTAAGGCATCACTGGAAAAAAGCATAAATACATTTCATAAACATGTGGGATAACCACAGTTTTACTGAAATACAGCTTTATGAAAGCAAAGCTTTACTTTACCTGGCGCAGGTAAGGAAGTATCATAAAATACATGCTGTCATCTACTGAGTCCTGTGTATGTTCACTATTTACCTAAAGGAACCTTTGGTCTGACACACTATACCCATTTTTATGTACTTTACCCATAAAACTTTATGAGAAAGGAGGCATTTCTAGGAGTAAAGATAACATTTTACGTTACCTTAGGTAAGATAAAGTACAATAAAGAAAATTAAAGTCTCATACCTTATAGCATATCCCAATCAACCATAAACAGATGTTAGAAAGAAATGTACTCTGTGAAGAGGGTATTCCATAAGGAACCCTCTGCGTATTACTCAGAAACATCTGGTACAAACAACACTTGCTTACTAGTGAGACAAAACACTCAGCTGAAACAGAAAATAATTTAAAAATACTGAGATTAATCATTCCACAGCCCATTGATGGTTACCAGTTCAATGCCTAGCGCACAGATACAAGTTCTTAGCTAGAATTCCTGGCAAAGAGTGAGGGCTTCTTTTTGATATACAAGGGCTGCTTCAAAAGTAAAAGTCTTCATTGTATTATGTTGGCCCACAACATCAGAGGTATGTAGAGGTTGAACCACCCTACCAGTGGTCCATTACATTCTTTTGCTGTGCAATAAATGGCAGCAGAGGGGCTGATATAGAAGCGCATATGAAGCAAAGGGGGGGTCACTGAATTCCTCCATGTAGAAAAAAACAGCACCCACTGACAGTGGTGTTTGTTAGTGATCATTTATGGAGACCAGCCAATGGATGTGAGCACAGTGACAGGTGCATTTCCAGCAGTGGCAACAGAAACAGTGCATCACCTCCACTGGTGCAGATTTTGGTGAGCACATGCAGGGTCTGGTTCATTGCTGGCTAAAATGCATAGCTAATGGTGGGGACAATGTCAAAAATAGCGTTTTGTAGCTGAAGATTTGCTCTATCAACTACTGCTATTATCCTTTTTGTGTGCGTTGTAGCTTCTGCATAAATAAACAGAAGGCATTACTTCAGAGCATCCTGCATATATCAGTTAGTGGAATGTTAAGGGCTTTCTGTAAGAAAAGAATCAGAACTGCATCCAAGAGCATTCTGACAATAAAGAAAATTGTTCCTACTTTATTTTGATTTCACCCCATTTTCTAACAAAGTCAGCAGCATTTCCCTAGCACCTGAATCTGTCTTCAGCATGAGCAATACTGGGCACATTCATACACAAACCCACTACTCTACATATTTGCTTATATGTGATTTACTGCAACTATTTGTTAGCTGTAAGTTTTTAGGTGAGCTGCTCCTGTAGTTAGATGGTCATGTTGGCACATCTGCTTGGTTCATATCAGCTATTTAAAATATTACAGAATCATAGAGATGCCTGGGTTGAAAAGGACCCCTGCTGTGTGCAGGGTTGCAAATCACTAGACCAACCTGCTCACAGCTACATCCAGCCTTACCTTGAGTGCCTCCAGGGATGTGGCATCCGTAACCTCTCTGGGCAACCTATTCCAGTGTGTCACCACCCCCTGAGTGAAAGTATCTATCATATCATCAGCTTATGTACATCTATCAGCATTTAAAATGTGATATATTTTTTTAAATTCAGAACAACTTTCCTAGGTACATGACAACAACTTCTTAATTAGGAGATTACCTGATTCTGTAGGAAGAAATGTTTCATGTTGATTGCTACACTTCCAGAATTTTAAAGTAATTCATGTTTTGTTGCATTGATGTACTGAGTAGAAGACCATTGCACACTGAGGAGTTAGAGATCCACAAAACAGAGAAGCTGAGCCTCTGGCCAGGCCTCTGCACATACCATCCTTTTTGTTTGACGTCAGAAAAGTAGTGAGGTTGTTGGTTTTTGTTGTTGTTGTTGTTGGAAAATAGCTCCAAAGATGGAAACTGGGGATCTCTCTTGCATGGACAGGATCTGTCCAGACTGCTTGCATAGATTTAAGGCCCATTTGATGCTGCACAACATTGGGTTTCTACCATCTGATGGGACACAGGATTACTTACTCTATTTCCTCCTTATAGTAACTCTGATAAACAGCATTTTAAATGATACCTCACAGTCCAAGTGCCTATCTTATTGGGATCATAATGTACCAGCACCTCCTGCTGCTGAAACAATTATTACTGAGGAGTCTTGTAGTAAAGACCTTAATCTACAGCATATGTCACTAAAAACAGAATGTACTACCTTAATCTTTGGGATTTCAGGTCACAAATTTGACCTGAATTTGAAATGATCTTATTTAAATTTATCAGTAATATACTTGTGATTAATTTGCCTAAGTTGATGCTGAATGTGATTACGTTTGCAGTTGTTAACTCTGAGTCATCTTTAAGTGCTGTGAATATGGACTGAATTCTGCTGATTCTAACATATAGAGTCCCTTTCTTTCCAATACATGAAGATGTTACAAAAATCAGAATTGAAGAACAACATAACAGAGATGCTGTTGTGGCTGATCATTTGATAAAATACTGCAAATAGAATTTCAGTTATTTTTGGTATTTTTTTCCTCTCACACAAAACTATACAAAATATGTAATTTCACAGTTATCAATTTCGATTCTCTGAAATTACATAGAGCATGAACAAAAATTGTTCATTTGGAAATGTTTTCTGGCGTGTTTTATCAAAGAGATACAATGATTCTTCATTATGCAGTGATTGCTTTTTCAGGTTTTTTCCCAGGTTTCAATCTAGATGGAGGAAAAAGAGCAAGTTTTGCTTTTATTCCTCACGTGTCTGAATACTGAATACGCTCATCGTATGTTACCATGGTCCTGATAAAAGCAAAGGCATAGTCAAGAGTAATACTTGAGTCCTGGGATGACTGTGAAGATAAAATTAAAGTGGCCTAACTAAATGACAATATTAGAAATGATAATGAATAATTGAAGTGATGCTGGGTAAGCTCAATAGCAGGTGTCATAAGCATTACAAGCAAATAAGCATATACAGTAAAATAAGAGATGAGTTAAACATTAAACATGATTCAAAGACATAGGACTGAGTCAGATGTCTTCGTCAGCAAGTTCAATACTTCTGCACTGAACATAACTACAATCACAGCTCGACAGGCATCTGACTTAGTAGAAAGTAGAATCTTGCTTTTACTCCTACTGTCAGATGAATAATATGATTCTCTCATTTCTCTGATCACTAGAAATCTTTTCATTCCCAAGCAAAATCATCCTTTACCATACAGAGTATTTTTCTCACTGTGTTTTTCTTCAATCTACAAGGTATTTGTGAAGACTAACAATTTTTATTGTTATTTATTTTATATATATATATAAATAAATAAATTTTTATTTATTTTATTGAGGTTATTTTACCATATTTCCTCCGCTCTGCTCTTTTGAAGAAAAGAAGTGTTACATTCTGTTGACTACCTAATAGCTGTTCAATGAATTTAGTTCAAACTGAAGGAACCCTTCAAGAATTTGGTGTCCAGGCTGGAACAGGAGTTTTGATCAAGTTTTGTGAACACCTTTCTCAGTGGCATTAACCTATTTTATCAGTAAATATGCCACGTGTTCTTTTTCATTAAAAAAGCACATTATGTGTAACTTAGAATTGTATGTAAAAATGGATTTGTATTATTTACTTCAAAAGAGAAAACCAATGACTGTACATCATACCAACTGTCAGGAATGTGTTTTAACATAAAAGTCCATGCATTCTTCATGCATGTGTTTTTTTTTCACCATTATATATAAACGCATTGCTGTATTTGAGGTACCTGTGAGATGAGTAAGGTGAATCAAGGCCTGCAACTGTGCGCAAACTCTTACTTAGGATGAACAGAAATTACCTGAGTGAATTTAGTAAAAGAGTTGATTAAATTGTAGTCACATTTCCCAGCAACTAAGGAAACACACTGGTTATCAGCACTAATAATTCATGGCTAATTTGCTCTCACATTTCTAGTCTGGAGTTATTGTAATAATACAAAAATAAAATTTTAGGTTATTAATATTTCTGTAAGAAAGACTGAATTTTCTATTCAAAAAGGAGTAAAAGGTTGTGACACTCATCTCTAGATTTGATACCACATAATTTTCTGCAATATATCAGTAATGATTACAGTTTTGAATTTTAATTTTTAATCGATGAAAGGAATTGATGAAGGATCCAGTTCATTTGAAAAGAGACATGCTGGAAGAACACTTGTCAAGATCAGAAATGGGGATGTTTTACCTTCCCTTTTTTTTTTTTCCCCCACAAATTCAGATCATAACTGTGATTGACCAGTTATCAAAATTCTGTGGTATCTCTATCTGGAATTCAGAGAGAAGTGTGACAGAAAAAGAAAACAGATTGTTGCTGCTTCATAGATATTAAGCAAGTGAAAAATCAAAAGCGAGGGGTAGAGATAAAGTACATGAGGATGTGGAAGACAGCAAATATACCCTGCTACTCTGGACCTAAAAGCCAGCCACAAAGACTAGGAAAATAAATGGCTTCAATACTTGCAGTCTGAAATTTCACTGGATTGTTCTTCTCTGGCCTGGTTCTGTAAGGCCCTACTGACCTTACCTACATAAGACAAGTTGGTTGTATTTATTAATGTTGTATTAATTAAGCTACAGTGCTGCCGCTCTAGCCAGGAAGATGACCATGCCTATGCATTTACATGGATCCTGTTTTGGTTTTCGGCTGGTGGAGTGGGTTTTGTTTTGTTGTGTGTGTTTTGATTTGTGTTGTTGTTGTTGTTGCTATTGTTGCTGTTTTTGTTATTTAGCTTATTTAGCTAGTAGAAGCTTTTAGAATTAATTGGAAATAAAGTAACTCTCACAGCTGTAGAATTATTCATTTTATGATGATAGATATTTCTTTTCAGTAGTAAGATATCATCTCAAGACTTCATGTATGCAGATGGCAAAATTCTACCTATTGAGGACAGTACTGGGAGAAAAAGATGTCAGAAAGAGAACCTAGATACAGCAGAAAGCAAACATTCTAGAAAATATGTGTAATATGCTGCAAAACAAGTATTTTGAAGACAAAGAAGAAAACTAAAATAAGCATGGTCCTGAGACCTAGCACCTCTTAACACTGCTTGGAAATACTATGCCACTCGTGAGTTTCCACATCTAAGCTGGTTTCCCTCCTTTTTTTTCTGAGTAATTTAACCAAGGAAGTGAAGAAGGAACTACAATGTTGTATTCACAGCTTAAAGCAGAATTTGAACATGCTCACAGGTATACAAGTATATAAATAGGTGTATGTGTATACATATTTGCACATATTCCTAAATGCATATAGACAGGTATTTAAATAGCATGAGGAAGAGAATCCACCTATACAAGACATGGTCTATATATCCATCATCTATATATCCATCATCCATCGTAGAAATTGGGGGGGGGAGGGGAAGGAAAATTAGATCTAGATATGTTGTAGCTATTTCTGTGAGTGACCTTTGCAGGTGTTGGAACTTCTGTGCATAGGTTAAGTTGTGACAAAGGTTAATGCATTGCTACATAAATAACCTACCTGATTGGCAATCAGCCGTGCTAGGATATCCATCCTCGATCCTGACTCTGAAATCATTTTTGCTGCATTAATTACATCAGATGTGTTCTTCAATGGTCCTCTACCCCTTCAAATGAAACAGAATTTATTACATTATTCGAAACTGAGAATAGATCATAGTGATGCAGATTAGGCACAGAAGAACTCAATTGAAGTAAAAAAAAAAAACAAAAACAAAAACACTGATCTATACAGAAGCAACATTAATTAAATCCCCACTTCCAAGTGTTTTGTTTTCATGTCCCACAGATTTGCACTGCTTGGCTTCAACTGGATGCAGAAGTACCATAAAAATGTCACACATTTTCATCCTGCAAGTGCAATCCATGCTAAATCCTAAAAACATGGCTTTCTAAGCCCAGTTCCAATATGTCACATATAGATAATTCTATGGGAATGGTGAAGGTTTAGTACAGAGACTGCTTGTGCTGCTTGCTGTAATTATCCTGCAGTTATACAACATTTATGTTCCTTTCCCTTCCAGCAGTTTCCTGCTAGGTATTACCTAGTAAAGTATTTTCCAGTAAATACAAAATAGAAAGTTTATCAGAGTGATGAATTCTGAGACTCACTGTGGATGTCTGGTCAGGAAACTCAGGTTGTTTTATGAAATTGGTGTATGCAAGCATAAAGGAATTATGAACAGGAATGCAATGAAAACTAACAAATACCACTCAAAACTTGGATATGCCGTATCTAAAAATGCTACATAGTTTTCAGAACAATTCAGCGTAACTGTAAAATTCCTCTGAACAATTTTTCAAGAAGCCACCTTCAGGCTTCTTCAACTTTGAAATACGTCCGCTAAACTAAAAAGCAACATTTATTTTACCTCACACTTATCAAGTATGCACCTGTGCTAAATTCAGCTCTGCATTTCAGCTTTTATGACAGATTTGTAGTTTAAAAAAACAAACAAACAACGAACTCATTTGCCCTAAAACATTATTGTATGTGGTTACACCTTCAGTAAAAAAATCAGTAAAAAAGACAACAATGGCAACACAGCATGGCTAGTAATTGTTAAACTCTTAATTAAATACAGTGTTTTGCAAAAAACTATTCTTTGATCTTTGGGGGAAAAAAAGCATGCTTTACAAATTATAGCTCCTTATTCTCAATTGTTGAAGCCTACACCTGGAAAAAAAACTAGAGAAAACACAGAACTGGATATCTTGCATATTATTTTGCTACAGAAAGGTATTTCCTTGACATGGAAAACCCACTGAGGCAATTTTCATGGTTGTTTTTACCTTTTACTCTTTAGTAGGACGGAGGAATACTTACACTGCATACTGAACCTATGCAAAGAAATCCTGTAAAGTAAAAATCCAGACTTAACAGTGAAACTGTACAAAAAGTGACTATTATCTACAACTAAAGAACCAGGGAGAGGAGAGTGCGGAGTAAGTAACAGTGATAACTGATTTTTTTGCTCGGATTAACTACCTGGCTCCAGATGCTAAAGATATGCAAGAAAAATCTATGAAAGCCCTTCGTTTTTTCTTTCCTAGTCAGCAGATGGCTTCCTACCAGTTTTAGATTTCCTTGCATTTTGTGTGTCAAATTTGAAGTATGAAAATACACCTTGCTTTGGGAGTCTGCTTCACCGTCATCCATATAACTTACCAGAATTTTTTTCCTGATACTTCACGTGGTTCCGTTTCAGAGACGTTGCATCAATGACCTTTTCCTTCTACAAATGTAGTTCAGGACTATCCTCCACTAGGTGCAAAGTATCCCTGCCTAATCTGTGAAAGTATTATGGTTCTAGTCTTGTTGCTAAAACTAGGTTAGTATAGACAATATAGACCTCCATGCAGAAGCTTAAGAACATTAGCTTAGCACATTCATCCACAGTAGATGTTTAGAGAGAGGGGAAAAAAAAAAAAAAAAGTCCTCCTCACACAACTGTCTTAGTTTCAGCTGGATGGAATGATTTTCTTTAGAATGACTGGTATGATGCTATATTTTGGTAGATTCTGCTAAGCAGCGCATACAGAACCAATGTGAAAGTAATGTTTAGTGTGTATTCAGTATTGCAATCATCTTCAGCCTACAGAAACTGTATTATTGATAATTTTACTAATTACACTCTTCGATTTGTCTCCTTGGGGAGCTGGGGAGTCTGGCTATGGAGGATATAGGGGTGGACGCCTTCCAGCAGTTTCTCACCTTCCCTTTCACTTTTCCTTCTTTCCTTAGAGCTCAAGAGATAGTCACAGTAGCTCTTGAGAATTCTGAATATGTGTGGGATTTCAAACCAGCATGCTCCTATTGCTATGCATTGCGAATGTTTTTCAGGCTAAGTTTAATATTTAACAATTATTTAAGAATATCACCCCGAGATCTGTCCCGAGACAGGACACTTCTGAATGACAGGGAGTGTGGGATGGTGTGGGCAGATGGCTGGAGCAGTGGGCACCTCCAGTGCTTTGGAACTTCACCTCTGAACAACTGCAGAACCCTGAAGATCTAGTAGAATATTTGGAAAAGATCTGCAGTTGCCTAGCAATCCTAAAGAGGCACACATCACTGCAGCATGCTGGGGCTTGACCTATGCCTACCAAGCACTGTTCAACACTAATCAGCATCCTCAAGGAAAAGAAAAATACCTCTCAATCTGATGACAATGCAAGGGACCTTCCAACTTCATCAATAGTTCCTGCAGCAGCTCCTGCAGTAGCTCCAAGCATTACATGAGAGCCTGCTGTGTCTCCAGCCCTCATGACGAACCCTGTAGTTGCTCCTGCTATGGGTTCTGTGGCTGTTCCAAGTATTGCAATGAGAAAATGAAAAAAAAAAATTCCTCCCAAGGGAGTTGCAGTAAGACAATACCATAAACCATTAGCAGGTCAGCAGCAGTATAAATTTTGTCTTTTACAATGTTTTCCATCTTTTTTTCTCTCTTCTATAAGAGAAATTCTAAATTCTTGGTTGTGGTGCTCATTATTTTTGCTTTTTTTTTTTTTTTTTAATTGGGTTCAGAGCCTACACTGCACTCTGAATGCCATTATTTGATTTATTGTTTGGAAGATCTATTTATTTCCTCACATATTACTATTTACAAGCACTAAAGCTGTATTAGATAAGTTTATAACACATCCAGGGATATGAAAATAAAGATGAGCCACAAAGTGCTGTATTTATGAGCAATTACATGCCCCCAAGGTAGTGATGGATTGTTATTAGATCACTTAAATCAATTGTTCTATCCAATGAGGAGACTGGGAGTAGTCCATAAATAATTACAGTGTGAAGTCTAGCTGTGTCTAACTAGGAGTTTAATTGGTGTCTGTACAAATGAAATCAGTTGAGAGCATCTAAGCGAAGTCATGGAAGAGAAAAAGCTTCACAGAAATGTCTCTTGAAAAGTATAAACACAAGAAAAAGCTTAGAATCTGTTAACTGCTGTAACACCAAAGAAAATACTGAGAGAAAGACCTAAGTCACACAATCTAAACACTCTTGCCCCAAACCACGATGAACAGCATGTCTGCAGTCACTTCATTTATGCCTGTGCACTGTCTAAACTTAACTCCAATGACTAACAGGCATCACTATCAGGCATTATTTTCTTTTTTCCTTTAGTCTGCAATTTCACTCTGAAAAGTAATTATCAAAAATATTCCCTTAATTCTTAGCTTTAACTTCATATTCAAAGGCTTCACCATTATAATCTTCTGCCTCCAAGCAAAGCTGAATGGCTTACTGCTACTCACTGTACTCACCTCAGCAAATGCACTTGTGGAAGGGGATATAAATAGGCTGGGAGGCCAGACTTGCAATTATCTCAAGAAGTATGGAAGAAAATATAGCTATAATTACCAAAAAGAGAACCTGTCCATTCACATAGGATAATTAAATGAGCAGATACGAAAGTGAGGTGTCAGTCCCTATGCAGTGTTACAATAAGAAACAATTTGCAGTTCCAGCTGATCACAAAAGCATCAAGAATTGGCACTAGAATGTTGCAGAAGAAAAAGCAATGGCAAAATGGTACGCACAGAGGAAAGGCAACACTGTACTTTGTACAGTAATGAGTTCTCTGTAGGTAAGTGACAAAGAACACAACATTCCTGGAATGACTTAATTTAGAAAAGAGAAGACCAGACTAGTGGATTAGGTTTGGGTTTCCTTCCTAAAGTGTCTTCTTACAGTGAAGTAAGACTCTGTGAAAAACCTGGACATGGGAATTCCTTCCACTGTAGTCAATAGATTATATGGTACTTGCACTCATGCGGTTACACGGTCCGTCAGTAAACAATGACAATTAATGTAAGATGCACGTCTTCTGTCAGTGACATCTGTTCCATCAAAGTAGCCACCTCCTGTTCCAGAAGCATAACTAGTGACCCAATTTCTGGATGAACCTAAGGTAGATGAGGCTTCTGAATTCAATACCACTAGCGTTTAAGAAAAATTTATGACAAATGAAGTAGAAGACCTTGAACACAGGAACAGCTCAAGAATCCAGACATTTCCTTCTAGTTAAATGGACAGAAGGCCAACTATTACTTCTCTGCTTTCCCAGACTTATGCAGAAAAATAATAATGCAACTGTGGCTAAAATAACATTGAAAATAAATGCCGGCATGAAAAGACATAGTAGTAATTAAATTCTTTATACCAGCATGGTAGTAGAACAGAAATTGAAAAGCACCGTTATTTGCAGCAACTTACCTATCAATGTAACTTTACATCGGTCCTGTGATTTCTTTCCTTCTGTACTCTGGGGCAGACAGATTCTTCTATCTACACTACGCTCCAGTCTACACTTCTATCAAGAGCTACCCTCTTGATCTCCTTTTGTGATTTCCTTTTCTAGGTCATCTTTTTCAATCCAAGCCCCTTGTGCTTTCAACAACTTTACAAAATAAATAAAACTATTATTTAGTGTGCTTCACTCTAAGAAGCACACTCTATTTCTTTTTGTTGCTCTTACTTTCTTTGTTCTGCCATTTGAGACCAATCACTTAAATTGTTCATTATCTAGTTAGTGGACAGCATAAAGATTTTGACAAATTCAGTGATGAGAGCAATGTCTAAAATTCATTTCATTTCACC